AAATCATTAGAAAACACTGTCAAGGTACTTTTATTGCATTCCAAAGCCTTCGGAATAATTTTATGAGTAGAAGTGCACAGAAAAGATCGTACTTCGGAAAGACGTATATATACGACTGGGGCATTTAAAAAAACGGTTGAATGAGATGTATATATGCACTTAGGAGGTTGCACTTAAGAAGTTTAAGACGTACTGTAGCTTTAGTGTCAAAGTATAGTATTACTGAATGCGTTGCATTCACTCGACCGATTATTATTTATACAGAAAGGGTGATGAAAATTCTGATTGAATATTGAGTAGCAAATATTGAAAGTTTGAGAAGCACCACACTAGACATACCAAGTTGTTTATTCTTAGATTCTAATATCATAAAACAGTGCTATTTAAATGGCATTAAAGAAACTAATTGCCATTCTTCATTCTTTTTTAATGAAAAAGACTATTTTGATGATTGAATAGATAGAAGGAAAATACAAAATTTTCAGAATTTTAATTTTTTGAAGAACGTAAATATTTTTATTCATAACCATATTATTATTAAAATACGTATTTACGAGTTAAAAATGTTCTTATTTAATATCATGGGGTATTATTACAAAGGACAAACTAGTTTTTAAAACAAAAATAAAAAATGGATTTTAAAATTCTGAATATTAATATCTTACTCAAAATTTAGTACTTCTTAATCTTAAAGAACCATTAGGTAGCGATGTTTCAGCGAGCCACTTCTATTTAGAAGTCTTGTGGCAACAGTTATCTTGAATCTTTTTCTGTAAATATGTGCTCTTGTTATGAAATATTCTATGTGAAACCATTACTATGTGAAATATCCTATAAATATATATATATATATATATATAACAAATTAATTATTCTATTCCTAGTGAAACATTCTATAACAAATGTGAACCATTATATTCATGGTAAAACATTCTATGTATAGCATATATATATAACAAGTAGACCATTCTATTCCTAATGAAATATTCTATAACAAATATGAACCATTATATTCCTAGTAAAACATTATATATATATATATATATAACAAATGAATTATTCTATATTCCTAGTGAAGCATTCTATAACAAATGTGAACCATTATATTCCTAGTTAAATATTTTATAACTAATGAATCATTCTATTACTAGTTAAATATTCTTTGTGTCGTGAATTATTCTTCATATGTGAAACATATTCAACAATATCAAATTGCAATTTGATTCATCATTGTGCCAATTTTCTTTCATTAAACTGAATTTCAAAAGCAAATCCATTAGGCTTAATATAATTCAATAAAGTCCACTATTTTAATGTTTGTGCTTCTTAAATTACTTAGAAATTAACTTTTAAGGTAACTGAGACTTCCGTAACAAGGAAAAATTAACTTTTTTACACCAAATTTAAATGTTTTTCACTTACTTAAATTAAAAGCAACGAAAGTAAACTTTTTACGTTGAATTATCTGTATATTTATGTACCTGTTAGTGTAAAAAGAATTCCATTTTAAATTACAAATAAATCTGTATGATCAATAACTAATCAATAACTATTTTTTTTTATTTTCGAGGAATGTTCTTACCTTTAGGTATACTATGCATAAAACACTGCATATATAGCCATAAAATTTTACAGAGTTTTTGAAAACATAGCAATCCATAAAATGAATTAAATGAAATTTTTAAAAATATATATATAAAAATTTTAAAATTTTTTAAATGATTTAAATTTTTTTTAAATTTTATGCAGAAAGTGTGCTATATCTAAAATTTGTGAATGTTTGTCTTAAAAAGGATTCATTCACTTTGTTCAACATTTGTGGATCTTATAATATGCAAAATATCAGCACTATAGGTAAAGTAGATTGTGAGAAAAGTGTACCGGAATCACCAAAAAAGGCATTTTGAGAAAATTGCAAATAAATATACTTTGCTCTATGATGCGTAAAATAGTATTTTTAATACAATATATAGCGATACCATTATTAATTGGATTATTTTGCATCTTCTCTCAGTTTTTAAGTTGTAAGTTTAAAATTCTAGATTATTTAGAAGTCTTCTTAATTACTCTTTCCGTATTTCATCAACACGTGTTTTCAACGATTTACACCTTCTTCCATTTAAAATACCAAAGTGTTTTTTTTTATTTATAAGTTTTAGTATTTTAATTCACTTTGAACATCATCATTACAGGATATTGCAGAATTCCTTACACATATTTTTATTGTAATAAAAATACACAAAGTAAATGTCTCATGAATTTAAGAAGTTAATTTGATGTCTAATTTAAATGGAACTCTGTTTTTAAAAATTATATCAAAAAAATATCTGTTTTTGTACTCCCAACATATAAATATTGAATTATTTTAAAGTAAAACCAACAGTAATAAACTTATAAAATTATTCATGCGCATTCGAATGTTAACAAAAAGCAGCTAGGAAAAACAAAAATGTCTAGTTTATAAGCTGTGTATTTAATTTAGAATAATCCTAAAGATAGACTTTGTGCTATATCCACTTGATTTATAATTTAAGAACTACACTAAATATTTATAAATGCAGAACTAGACATAACCAACATATCAAAAAACAAAATTTTATTTAAAATTTTGTAACAAATTATTTAAATTTTCCGTAATTTTTGCCCAAAAAATGTAGAATTTTCAATAAATTTAACATATAATATAGAAAAATTGCATTCTTTGTATAGAGAAAAATTAGTTTTCTTACAATACATATAAAATACAATATGGATTTTGAAGAAAGTGTACCAGAATGATAGTTACACATCATTTGTTTATAATTTTAAAATTCAATTTTCAGGCGTTTTATTAATCGAATTCTCATAAATAATGTATCTGTGGATGCAGCAAAGTGCTCTCTATCTTTTAAAAGTAAGAAAAAAGAAAAACTGCAAAATGAGAAGCATTTTCACGTCCTAATTTTCTTAATCGGTTCTACAATCATGCGTTTATAAAAATTGAATAAACAAAAGAAAAAAATATTTAAATTATTATTACCTAAATGTATAAAAAACTGCTGAGAATATAAATTTTAGCAAAAATCTTTACCTGAAATTGATAAGTACATTTCCTATACTGCAGCAAAAATATTTTTTTAATTATTTTATTTGAATCTTTAAATGGGCGATTTGATTTACGTCACACTCCAAATACACTGTATGCGCACTCCGAATACCATGGTGTGTATTCTATGGAATACACACCATGGTACAAAAGTACCAACCTCGTAATATTGTATTATGGTCAACGGATGAGAATGACACATGCAGTGGCTTAGCTAGTTCTGAGTGGGCCCTTTATTAGGTATGGGAGCCCTGTTAGTGAGATTATGGTTACACATGTTGGACCCTCTTTAGCTTGGGAGCCCTGTTAGTGAGATTATAGTTACACATGTTGGACCCTCTTCAGCTTGGGAGCCCTGT